CTGCAAAAGACCCTGACCTCCAGCGTTAAAATCGAGACGAAGCCTTTCTTCTTTTTCTTTTTTGCAGCAGCAGCAGTCCACGCGCTTCCTCCCACCAGCGCGCGTTCAGGGCTCACGCAGCAGGTCCGGCCGGCGCGAGGCGGCAGTCCCGACTGGCTGCGCCTGGGTGATGGGGATCCGTGTGTGTGTGCGCGCGCGCGCGCCTCTGTGTGTGCGCGCCTGTGTGTGTGTGTGTGTGTGTGTGCGGGCGAGTTGCAGCGCCTCTCCTCTCCTCGCGCTGCATGAGGGTAAACGGCGCGCGCGAGGCTGGCGGTTCTCGGCCCTGTTGCTCTCGGTCTTTTGCGCATCAATTATACATTATACAGCTCGCGACGGGCTTCAAGGGAATGTTTATGCTTTTTGATTGTGCTGCACCGCTCCGTTCAGTCAAGCGAAGTGAGGACAGAAGGATGTTAAAGGGGGAAAGAACTCTTAATCAGTTGTATCACACTAAATAGTCTGGCAGGACATCAAAGCTTACGCAAGTGCCCATGTGCTCCAAAGATCAAACTGTTTCAATGAAAAGAACTGCCTTGGAAACAGACATGCAGACAGTAATTACTGTGTTGCTTTGGACAAAGACAGGCCCACTGGAATAGAAATAAATAATGAAGCAGGGAAAACTGTCTGACTGTTGAAGATGCTTGAAGTGTTCCCTGACCCACAGCTGGAGTCATAACTCTTGAGGGCCCTGTAATGCAGAGTAAACCTCGGAGCCCAGTGTAGGAGGACCACAGCATTCCATCTCCTACTAATGACGCCTCAGGGACTGCAGGTTCACTCTTACAGCTACATAAAGGGTTTTTTGGAGAGATGCCTTCGAAGCAGTCTTAGGTATCTTAAAGAACCTTTCAGAGGATGTCTTTTTGAAGGAATACTCCAGGTTTTTTCAAGTCTAGTCAGTATCTGCTGCATCTGTTTCATATCATCATTTTGACGGATGATCAGTGTTTTGTTGAGTCACTGGGTTTTCTGTTGTACATGGAAACTACTGCCTATGGTCAGCAACCATATAGTACAGATGCAGCTGAAAGAGATTAGGTTAATTAATGCTGGAGTATTCCTTTAAACATGCCACAGAGATGTCCTCCTACCCATTGGTTTCTATCATAAGTGTCTTTTCAAGTAGTTTTCTTTGATTATCTAAATAAAGGGAAACATCTAAATTACTGGCAGCAGTGGGTGTGTTGTTGCAGAGAGAGAGAGAGAGAGAGAGAGAGAGAGACAAGAAAAGAGAGTGGGTGGTGGCCAACCCAAAGACCAAAAAAGGCAGGAAGGCCAGAGCAGACCCCCAGATGCTGGGGGCCGGCTGTGTCAGTCTTAATCACTTATTCATTAGCCCTCCTCCCTTTCTCTATCTGTCCATCCCCTGGGATAGGGGCCTGGGGAGATGAGGGCATGGTCTGGCGTCTGATGGGAGTTGTGTGTTGAGTGTGATGGAGAGAGATGGAGAGGAACATAGGAATAGGTGATAAAGTGGGGGAGGGTGAAGAGGAGAGGTGTGATGGGGTAGATCGCTGTCTGATGGAGTGGAGGGAGGAAGGGGTGAGAAATGAGGTGTGGTGTGAGTGGGTTTAAATGGATGGAAAACAGTAGTAGAGAGGATGGATGGCTGGATGGATGGATGGATGGATGGATGAATAAATCAATGGATGAACAGATAAATGGAGGGATAGATGGATGGATGCACAGTGCCAAGAGAATGGAATGGAGCTGTAACTGTTTCTAAAGTTTAAATGTGGTGTTACGATGTGTAGAACTGATGGATAATTGGATGAATGTATTGACTGGTTGGCAGATGTAGGAGTGATGAAGGTGAATGGATGGATGAATGGACAGATGTATGGGTAGATAGACAGATGGATGGATGAATGAAAGGATGGATGGACAGGTAGATAGCTGGACAGATGGAGGGTGGATGAAGGAATGAATGGAGGGACAGATGGACAGGTGGATGGATGAATGGGTGAAAGATGGTTGGATGAATGAATGGATGGACAGACAGATAAATGGATGGATGGATGGATTGTTAGATGGATGAATGAATAGATGGATGGATGCGTGGGTGGAAGATGGTTGGATGAATGAATGGATGGACAGACAGTTGGATGGATGGATGGATGGATGGATGATGCAACAAGTGAGTGGAATGGACCTGTAATAGCTTATAAGAAGAAATACGGTGTCATAATGCAGAGATCTGATGGATGGTTGGATGAATGAATCAATTGATTTGGCAGTAGTATAAATGATGAATCCACAATTTTAAGATGCTTAAAGTACTGAGGGGTAAATGGTGCATTGGTGTATGAGTGATGAATGGATAGAGGAAGGCATGGAATGAACAATGGTGAATATGGATGAAGGATGGATTGATGAGTAGATGAACATTATAGTGACAGTGAACAGGATGGGAGGGTAAAACTGTTCATTAGAAGTAAAAATGTGGTGTAATGATGTGAGAATATGTGTGGTGTAAGAGGGTTGAAGTGGATAGAAAACAGTAGTAGAGAAGATGGATGGATGGACGGATGGATGGATAGACAGACGGAGGGATGTATGTATGAATGGATGGACAGATGGAAGGATAAATGTATGGATGTGGAACTGATAGATGATTGGATGGATCAATCAGTTGGTCAGCAGATGAGGGAGTGATGAAAACAATTTAAAGAAACTGAAGTACTGAGGGGTAAATAATGCATCACTGTATGGGAGATGAATAGACACAAGATGGAATGGAATGAAAAATGGTGAATGGATGGATGGATGGATGGATGAACAAATGGGGAAGAAGATGCAACTTAACTGACAGATGGCAGGGGGGATAAGTAGGCAGCTCTGTGGAGGGCTTGAGGGCAGGACAGAGGCCAGAGAAAAGAGAGAGTGCAAAATACAGGAAGACTGGGTAAATGGAATCTGTAATGGGGCAGCACAGATGGAACGTGATTGCTTGTGTGCATTTAGTCTGTGAACGAAATGGTATCTGAGCTAGAATCTCTCTGAGCAAGTCTGATGGCTGGACATTTCCGAGTTAAAATGCTGATCTAGCTGCCCTGTTGATATAATGGTGTTTATTAGGATATAAAAAGCTAAAGCCAATTCTAAGTCAGCACTTACTGGGAAGTGTGATGCATATCACCTTTAATGTGCAACCCATATTGCTTCACTCTCCAATGCCCTGTGGAAACTGAAAGAAGGCCAAGGACAATATATTCTTAAAAATAAAGATGCCAAAAAGGTTCCTTAGCATTATGCCCTGGAAGAACCACTCAGTGAATGAGATGCGAGTTTGAAGAAGAACCTTCACATAATGGATGAATGGATGGATGAATAGATGGACAGACAGACAGATGAACGGATGAATTGACAGACATTACGATGACAAGAGAATGTATGGAGCTATAACTGACTTTAAGAAGTGAAAATGTGATGTCACAACATGTAGAACTGACAGATGATAAATCGATTAGTTCTGAGGTTTATGCTAGAACCATATATCCAAGCCAAGAAAAGTTTAGGAACCTTTATTTTTAAAGACTAAACGGAATGTGGAGGTTCTTTAAACTTTAAAAAGGTTCTTCATGCTAGTACATTTCATTTACACAAATGATTCTTCAAAAACCCATTGAACATTTTCTAGAGAACCAAACCTCTGGTGGTTTTCTTCTACAGAATTGTTCCAAAGAACGCTTTTTGGCACCTTTATATTAAAGACTGTATGTGAGCACAGACAGAGAGGCAGACTCTTACAGCAAGAAATGGTGAAGGGAGGAGGTGGGGTGTTCAGAGAGCTGGTTACCAGTGGGGGTTTTATCTTAATGTGGGGGGAGGGATGTGGGCTGAAGGACCAGAAGCTGTGGGCGAGGCCCATGGAGACAGTCCTGTTTAGAAAATCAGGCGTCATGAGGTCGACTCACACCCAGACCGGATCAGGACTTGGGGGTATGGGCCTAAAATGAGCGCATGTGATGGAATTGGGGTCAGGGGGCAAATCCAGCAGCAGGAATGGATGAGTGAGTGGCAGGACGGTCCAGCATGCCCTCAGGCCAGCTTGGCATTGGGCTTGGTGTGGCGAGAGCGGAAAAGGAACAGGGTAGGGCGGTGTTGGCTGTGGCTATGGCTCGGGGAACCGGGGCGTGCTGGGGTGAATTCTGTCGGATGGATGGACGGATGGGCTGGCTGGCATTCATGTTCGCAGGGGGAGGAGAGAGAGGAGAGAGGGGAGAGAGAGGATGGTTGATATTGGGGGAGGGGAAACTGGTCATACTGAACAGTCTTCGCTCATAGCCAAGACACCGGTCATGCAGTAACCTTTGACTGGATGGTAATGTCCTTAGGAACCTTCAGTGTGTACGTACATCTGTGTTTGTTGTCACTGGTGTAATAAAGAAAAAGGAAATGTTCTCTTATTTTAATGTATGTTAATGTAACAAGAATTCATTCCTCATAATTTTGGAACGTTTCTATCCGTCTGTTATTTATGAAATGTTCACACAATATAAAGGGTTCCTGTGTGCACACTGTGTTAGTGTCTTTATACATCATCATCATAACCAAACCTTACATCCAGTGTTGGTGGTGCAAAGTAATGCGTCACAGTAATTTGATTAATTTTTCCCATAACAAACTAGTAGTAAGGCATTACAGTTTATATTCTTAATAACTTGTAATTACATCGCAGTTACTGACTCACTATACTCATATGTTTCTTTAACGTCCTGCTCTACCTCTGTTTCTGGCCGTGAGCTTTTGTGTTTTGTTTTTCCTGCTTCTCTCTTGCTCCACCCCCTTTTGTAATGCCTTTCACCTGTGTCTTGTCTGTAGTCCTGCCTCATGATTGTTTTAGGTGTTCCTTGTTCTTTTTCCCTAGTCTTGTTACTTGCTTGGCACTGAATGTAACGTTCAATGTGGAGAGTAGAGTTTGTGTTTTACCTTGCAAGTTTTATTTTCTTGTTTTGCTAGTAAGTTTCTTAGCATAGCTTAGCCTATTTTCTTTAGTTTCCAGTTCTCTCAGTGAAGTAGCTAGTCTAATTTCTTCATTTACCTTTCATAGATTATATGATAAAATGTTCA